CTTCAAAGTGGGAACCAGGTGCTTCATGCCTGTAATCCCAGCACTCAGGAGGCTGAGGCAGGAGGATCACAGTGAGTTTGAGGCTGACCTGGGCTACATAGTGAGTTTAAGATCAGCCTAAACTTACACAGTGAGACCCTGTCTCAAACTACAAAAACAAGCAAAATAAAGCAAAGTGGCAATGAAGATAAATACATTTTTTAAAAAAGCCTCTTAGGTGATGTGCAGCCAGTGCTGAAAAACACCTCTGCTAGACAGATTTCAGTGCAATAGAAGTTGATTTTTCATTTTAATTACACTGATTAATAGCACCAAAATCTGCTGACTGTACTTGAACAGTGTCTCAGTTCGAATTTTGAACCAATCACTTTAGTCCTTGGAATAATTTACCAAATGATATCTAGCAGTTTCATGAGATGATGTAATTTCTATATATTCTTATAGAATAATTTATATGCTAGGATGGTCTCTTATTGACCATATTTGCAAATGCCAAGTACATTGATTCTAACTGAATCTTTTAGTGCAATAATTTTCTATGCCATATTGGTAATTTATAGTCTTAAAATTTTGTCTAAACAATGCTAAATACGACTGAGTGTGCCTAAAGATATTATGATACTACAGTCAAAGAACCCATTTTCTTCTAGTATTAAATAAAAGAAAATCTCATTATTTGAATTGAGAAACCTAAAATGCTACAGAATTAAAATTATATTTGTACATTTTCTTTAGGGGGAGGTACCAGGGATTGAACTCAGACCTTGTGTTTGCCAGATAGGTATGTATGTCACTGAGCTATTTCCCTGCTCCCCATATATTTTTCTGAGCATACACATATGTCCATTTTTTGGTGAGGATATAGATAAAGCTGCTGTATAGGATATCCTAAAAATACAATGAATTAAATAAGACTGACATTGATTTCTCTCTCATGGAAAAATGAAGAAGAAAGTGATTTCCAGTACATAGGGATTTTTTAAACATATTCTGCCTGAGGTTTATTTGTACGAAGAGCACAGAAGGACACCAACCCCCCACAGATGGCACCCCAGGGGTCACATGAGTCCTGTTTTTACATAAGCAGGTAAGAAGTTTTTACTGTGGAAACTTCACAGAGGACTGGGCACCTTTGGGAGCCTGGGCTGGAGCAGAAGGTAGATCCTGGGCCTTGGCAGGAACCTGGGCCTTTGGCTGGCAAGGCCTACAACCTTTGGCGATGTGGACATGGATACACTTCCCAAGCTTGGTGTGGGCAATATAGGCAAGTTGAGCGAGCCTGCGGTTTACTTGCTTTAGGATGATCTTGAGCTTGACCTCCTTGGGCTTGACGAGGGCCTTGATAGCCTCGGCACATGCACTCATGGCCTTGGCATTGTTTGCTGACACCTTCTTGAAGCCCTTCTTGTTGTGTTTCTTGGCAAAATGCGTGTTCCTAAGGAACATGGGATCTACCACCTAGGTTTCTTGATGCCATTTCTGTGCCATTTTTGGGAATGGTTGTGCATGGTGTGGCTCTTGGACTTGGCCATAACTTCACTGTAAACTGCTGCTGCTACATGGAGATTTTTTAAGAGTTGCCAGTTTCCGTGCAAGGATAGGAAAGAAGGGAAGATCACTTCTGCTCAAGTGTCTTCAGAGGGACAGAGCACTGTGTCCCCAGCTGCACAGAAGACAGGAATGGAATCTCCATGTGGTATCCAGGTCTACATCAGAGACCAAAGGCTTCTCCAACCCCTGTAAGAAGCCACACTTTCCCCTGAGCGATAATGTTAGGCCACAGACATGGATGGCACCTAGCCACCAAAGTGGATTTGGTCACCCTCACAGGATTAATTCCAATCCTCTTTCTGACATGGATATGCTTCTTCTCCTCATCAGTGGAACATTTTCAATCTTTCTGCTCATGCAGCACCTGAACCTTGTGCTTACATACGGCATATCCACCCTTATATGTTTTGGTGGAAGATAAAATGTGCCTTGTGATAAAGAAGCTGAAAATACAAGATTCTTTCTCTCTAGGTTTCCAACTAGAGCCCAGACACTTAGGGTAGGCTCCGCTTTGAATTCACAATTGAGAACTGGTCATACAATAAAGCCGGGCTCCCGGAGTACAGTCCCTGGCAGCAGTGACACAGATGGTCAGTTGTCTAGGGGAGTTGGCTCTGTCTGTGTAAGCGACAGCTTCTGGAGTCATGAGCAGGGGGTGGGTGTTGGGGGTTCCAACTCCTGTGTGACAGTGCCTTTAGCTTCCAGGTTGAGTGAGGTCATTGCACATTAAGCCGTGTTTGTTAAAGACTTCACAACAAGCTTCCTCTTTTTGGAAATCAGTTCACTAGAGTCTCTCCAATATCATCCTGACATTTTTTAAACTTTCAGTAGTAATCTTTGGCACTCTGATATTTATCTTTTTGGGAAAACTTTGGCAAAAGTAAGAACAAATTTATTTCCCCACTGAATATGATTAGCTCAAAATAATGACACTAGTAATACAAGCTGTTAGAGATGCTTTGGGGTTTGCTAGGTGTTGAAAGCAAGGAGAGAATACAGCGTTTCCCTGACTTACATTTTGAGGGGATAGGGGTCTCTTTGTGAATGATACACCAGTGCTTAAAACTTCCAGTAGTTCGTCGATGAACTGAAGTGGGGTCTAGTCTCGGCCACTTCTTGAATTTTGAATTAGGATGATTAAATTATTTTCTCTGTATTTTATTTCCTGTACTTTTTTTACAAGTATATTTAAAGCCATGGACAGTTTATAAGATCTGTCTTAAAGACACCTGTGCTATGCATGATATATGATGTGTGAGATGCTAGCGCTCAGCAAAATCAAAGACCATCCCTCCTCTTCTGGCACTCAAAGACCTTCACGTTGGATCCCAACCTGCATTTTCAGTTTCTCTTCTTATCACTCCTCTCCTCCTTCCTCTCTTCCCTATGCTTCAGTGATGCCATATTTTAAAAATCAGAAGTTAACATGGCATAAGCAATCCTGTAATTCATTTCCATGTTCCTGCAGCTTATAAGGTGTTGCCCCCGTTGTGACCTACCTCACTTGCCCCACACCTCCTCACTGCTTCACAGGCGAAGGAGTTCCCTCCATGAAGAACTTCAGTGCCAGCCATATCCTTGGCCCAGCCATCTCTCACAGATCGTATCTTTTGTTTCTGCTACAGGTGACATATAGATCAGATTTCATTCATTCTTGTATTTGCCCATGGCCTGGGTAATAAGACATGCTCTGTAAACATTTGAGCGAGTCACCGAGTAAACAACAAGAGCTAAGAAGCCTCCAGTTTGTATTAATTTGGGAGCAACAAAGAAGTACCCATTGCACTGGAAAGAGTAAAGTAAGCCCCACCTCACAGTGACATGAATGTTAAGATGGACATAAACATGGAAACTCACAGGGAAGAAATGGGATGGCTGCAGGCCAGCAGGCATCTGCAGAAACAACCTGACTATGCTTTGAAAGAATGCAAAGAAGGGTGGGTTTACAATGGTAGGCTTAGAAAAATAAAGACCACTGAATAGTTGATCACAGTACCAGATCACTTTAGAGCACGGCCCAGGGAAGAGGAGCCAGGCTTCTGTTTTTGCTCCGTCTGTGAGGTTTCTCGTGGAGCCCCACTGATGTGTGGTCTTATTTAAATCTGGCACTATTACAACCTCATATTAATGGCTCCTTCTGTCCTATTATGCTCCTTATATAGCTTTTCCTTCTTCTTTCTGTTATAATTAAAAATGGTTCCTGATTATGACATCTTCCCAAATGTAACTGCCTACCATAGACTTCAATGGGGAACTATGGGAAGAAATTTCTGAATAGTTAAAGATGAAGACCAAGTTCAGCCAACTTTTCTTTAGCTCACATTTCTAGAGCACTTTCATTTGGAAGGTTCACCAGTGTTCACACTGGATATATAAAATTAGTTGATAGAATATAAAAAGAAAACCCAACCTCATATCTCTGACTTATAGGATTTCTGTCATGAACATGACTGAGATTTTTGTTATTGTTTTCTTTCAAAAGTTGTGAATTAACTTGGTTAAGGAGTTATAAGACTTAGAAACACCTGGTAACAACCCATGAGCCCATGAATCTGGCTTCATTAGATTCTGGTTGCCAGGATCAAAGACTCACTCAGGTTACCTCAGCATGAGTACGTGTGTTGTGAGTATGTGGTGGCATGTGAGGGAAAGAAACACCACAGGAATCTGGAAGGCCTGTAGGCAACAGGAAGGTAAGGATCCAAGATGGGGAAAGAAGAGTACCACTTTGCCTTGCAGTGTCAGGAGGGCAGTGGTTTCTACTTTGTGCCTCACATAGTGGGGTGTAGCCCTCTCCATTCTGCCTTTCTGCATATTTATTTCTGTTCTTGCTCTAACACTTTCTGACCTGTATTTCCCTAAATGTCTAAATTTCCAGGAGGGAAAAGTCAGACAGAGCCTCCATCCACCATGGCTCATGTTCGGACAGAGCCTTAGCAATGTGCCTCCCTGGTCTCTGTTGGCCAGGCCACCCCAGTCCAGTGTCAGTCCCAGTTGTGAGGAGTATAGTTTGCCTGTAGCTTCAAGGAAGGAAACACACAAATGAATCTGAGACTGGCGAAAGCTAATGTTCAATTCAGATATCACAAATAGGGGCTGTAGAGATAGCTCAGCAGTCTAAAGCACCTACTTCGGCAAGCTTAGGCAAGTGCAAGCACTACGGTTTGATCACCAGCACTACATTCCATGCCAGCCCCACCTCCAGAGTAGGATGAGCCAGCCACAAAAAAAAAAAAAAAAAAATCACAAATAGTGTGGCTTCAAACAAGTTTTGGATAACAATTCCATGAAATGATTTAAGGATATCTTTCATTTTGATGGGAAAAAGCTAACAAACGATTTGATAATGTTTTAAAGAAAGAGCTATTTATCATAAGTGAAGCCTAATAATCAATACTGTTATAATTAATAAGCACAAATTTCTTCTGGGTATTATTATCTTTATTACAAAACAAATATTTTATGTTGAGGTAATATTTCAAATGGCATTTAACAAAAATCAGTTGAATTTTATATACAGAATTTTGCAACATATGAAGAGAATCCAGAGAACATTTTTTCCTCTCATTGCAACATAAACTGCTTCTAGAGAAAACGATGCTAGCATTTCTGGATGTAAAGGGGCCTTCCTTCCCTTCTCTCTCCTCCCCAGTCCTCCTGCCACCTCCAGTGAGGTTGTCGTCCGGGGAGTCCCACAAAAACACTAAGATAAATTAGTTGGAAAAAAAAATATCTTGTTTATCCAAAACACTTCACTGAGCAATTTGAAAGTGCTTTTATAAACTAAATGTTTCATCATTAATATTTTCTATTATTTATCCCCAGAGAAAATAGAATTGTCTTGCCTTCAAAGGAGAAATCCTACACCACCCTCCAACTCCAGGGCTCTCTCCACTGTGTCTCACTAGCTCTCCAGGTGAAGTCGGGTTCTCCTTTCCATGATCCACATGCTGTGTCCATGTCTTCCCAGGGGCCTTCGCCATATGGATTGTAACAGTTCCTGCTGCCCTCCTATCCACCCCTGTTTAACTCCGTATCTCTCTAAAAGCTCCTCAGGAGCAAGCAGTGAGTCTGAAGCTTTGCTCTCTTCCTAGCCCCCTGTACAGTGCCTGCTGCACCATAGAACCCTAATAACCATCTGGCGGGCTAATGAACTCAGAGCCATTTCAGCTGCAGAGCTGTGAAGCACATCTCTCCTTGCTTCCAACCTCATTGAGTGTGTCCTGGTGTCACTCCAGGTCATGCAAACTTCTATGGAATGGTGCCACATCTGGAGCCACTGCGACATCCAATGATTCCCTTCAGAAAGTAATAACTGAACCTTTTGATCAATAAATTATAGTTATGATAATTTCCTTATACACAAAGCCCAGGATCCCTTTCTGTGAGAGCCACTTCTTAGGAAAACAAATGCTAGTAACCATCCTGGCAGTCATTGTCATCTTGGTCCCCAATGGGCTTGTTGTGGTACATGTCCATGGTCAGTTTTCTGCTTTCGGCCTCCATGTTTTTGGGCTGGCCATCCTCCTCGCTGCTGGAAGTGCTCTCAGTGGAGTTGCTGTCTTCTTTTGACCTGCTGCTGTCCTGAGAATTGCTGTCAGTGTCCTCCCCAGACCGGCTTTCTTGGCTCTGGCTTTCCGTGGATGTGCTCTGGGACTGTAGGCCCTCCTGGCTGGAGCTGTTGTCATCCTCAGGGGACTCCCGACTTTCCTCTGAGAACCTGAGGCTCTCGTTGGACTCGCTGTCAGCTTGCTGCTCTCTGGATTCACTCTCTGAGCTGGAAAGGCTGTTCAAGCCATCCTCCTCACTGGAATCACTGTCTTCCTGGCTGGTGGCATCTGGATTGTCACCCCTGGACTCACCCACCACATCCTCCTGGGACTCACTACTACTCTCCTGGGATTGGGTGTCCACCTCCTGGCTGGACTCACTGCTGGTGTCTGTGTCCTCACTGTCCTCCTGAGACTGGCTCTCACTGGTGTCCTCTTGAGAGTCACTCTTGCTGTCTTCCCTGGACTGGCCTGGGCCGTCCTCTTGGGAGTTGCTGCTCTCTGTAGAGTCACTCCTGAGGTCTTCCATTGTGTTGCTGTCCTCCAGGTCAACTCTATCATCTTCCTCAGAAATACGGGACTTTCTGAAAAACTTCTTGCTGGGAGACTCCGCTGATTGTCTGTCACCTGAGTCCTGAGTGCCTTCCTGCCTGCTGTCCCCTTGTGACTCCCTGGACTTGACCCTGGCACTGTCCATTCTGGAGCTGCCTCCCTCACTCCTGGTGCTGTCTGGGTCATCACTCTGTATTCCATTGTCATTGAACTCCGAGCCGTCCCCATGGCTGCTGTCCCCCTCACTGCTGCCTCCCACCCAGGGCTCCTCACTCTCACTGTTCATCCCATCCTCAATGTCAAGATCCCTGCTGTTCCTGGACAGATATTGAGTGCTGTCCTCTTGGGAGGCACTGTCTTCTCTGGACTGTGTGGAAGCAGCAGAATCCTTTTTGGGGCCCAGGCCATTGTCCTCATCACCAAAGGTGTCATCCCCACTATCATCCTCATCATCTTCCTTATCTTCTCCTTTCCATGAACTTCTAGACAAGCCATCAGCTGGTCTAGAAACATAGTGGCTATCATCAGAGGTCAGGTCCTCCTCCGTCTCCATGCTGTCACTGGGGTCTTCATTTGCCTGGAGTTTGGGTTAAATAGATAGTATCAGTACACCTGGCATTCATATTCTGGGAATTATCTAGCACCTTCTACTCTTTCTGCTTCTTAATCCTATGTCCCTGCTCTAACCCAGGGTCAAGAGTACTTCTCAGTAACATCTCTGCCAGAACTTTCACAGAAAGAAGAGGGGTCAAAACTGAGGGCATCAATACCGCAGAAGCACACATCACCAACCTCCCTCATCAAACATACTCATGCCCTGCTCAAGCAGCAGTTACTGCCCTCATGTGAAAATTTGAAGAAGATCAAGGCCATGAATTACAAAGTCTTCAAAGCAGAGCAGTTCCCCAATTTCATGTTTTTAAATATCTACACTCTTCTCCTGATAAATCTTCAGTAAATACAGATAAACAAACTAATACTTTATCCTCCAGCTCTGGCTCTGTGTAGAACACAGTATGGGCCAAAGAAAACCTCAGGTAAGAACCACATCCTGGAACTCTATAAACCCATGGGGTTGAGTTCAGTCAAAGGGGTAGAACTAGGCAGGGGATGGGACTCAGAAGTATAGCATGTACTTAGCATGCATGAGGTCCGGGTTTAATTCAATCCCAGGACAAAAAGGAATAAGAAAATCATAACATGCAGTCTAGTCTTTTTTTAAGAAAATAAAAAATAGTGAAAAAAGTTAGAAATGATACAGAATTTCATTAAACAAAATAATAGGAATTCAATCATGGTTGTTATATTGCATAATTTTGTCTTCAAATTAGTTGCTTAGATTAGCAGATATAAGCATGCAACACTGGTAAAAAGAAAAAGGTATGGAAAATTAAAAAGGAAAAAAATAAGCATTTGGGGCCAGGGAGATGGCTCAGCAGAATAAGCACTTCCCTGGCCAGTGCAAGGGTCTGAGTTCAATCCCCAGCTCCAAGAAAAAAAAAAAAAAAAAATTAACTGTTCCTTCAATAGATCAGCAGAAATCTGCAGTACAATTATCCAATTTATCCTATATATATGCATAAATATATCTTTCTCCCTTCCTTCCTTTTTTTGTCCTTGTCCTCATCCCAATTGTTCCTTCCCTTTGAACAGGTTTTTTCCCCTTCACAGTATCTACTGTACCTTTCAGATTTTATCTAGTCTTTCAGGTTCTTACACTAGCAGACAATATGATGTTTACACATGAGGGTCTGATTTATTTCTCTTATGAGTATGGTCTCTAGTTACACCCATTTACCTATAAAGACTCATTTATAGCAGCATAATCTGCCATAGCTAAATCTTGGAAACAACCCCAGTGCCCATCAACTGAGGAGTGGATAAAAATGATGTGGAATTTTTACACAATGGAATATATATAACTTTTTCATAGGTTATGTCACTGTACACGTGTAGAGAAATGTTAGATGCCTTTTAAATCTTTTTTGTTGTATGTTTTACTTTTACCTGTAGTATAATGTACTTTTATGATAAAATGACTAAGCATTGAATAAAAGAATGTAAAATAGATTTACCTTTCTTACCTCAGGCCCAGAGGGAGTTATTTTAAAGAGTAACAAAGGCCTCCCATCATGCTCCTTTCCTCCCCACTGGTATATATTCAACCAGGAGGTGCTCTCCAGGGCCAGAAGGCACCTCATGTTGGCAGAATAGTTTTTCTTAGGGCTGGAAGGAGCTTAGTGATAAAGCACTTGACTAGTGTGTGCGAGGCCCTAGGTTCAATCCCCAGCATTGAAGGAAAAATAGTGTCTCTTGCCTGAACTGAACTGATCCAATTCTAAATGCAACATTTTTAATAGCTGCTGAGTGAACTGTGACTTGTTCCATGTGTGTGTGTGTGTGTGTGTGTGTGTGTGTGTGTGTGTGTGTGTGTTTACATGGAGGGACATCTGAGGCCACAGTGTCTTCAGATGATAAAAATGGAATGAACAGCAAGCCCACATCTCAGCTCTGTTCCCTCATTTTCCCTTTCTTATTTTCTGGGACTGTTTGGGCAGCATAACCAATGGTTAGAAAATATTATATTTAGAAATGTTGCCAGGCAATTTAATGTGCCATCATTTCCTTCAATTCCTAAATAGCCAGAAAAGTTAAGGAAGCTTAATTACCTGTTCCTCTGAGCTAACTTTACTTTCTTCTGATGACTCACTGTTCTGAAAGAGAAAAAAAAAATGTTTATTTTCCTAGTAATTCCTCAGGAGAGAAAAGAATGTGACATACATCAATTACTTGAGTTTGTATGCACCACTTCCAAAATGGGAAAAAGTGTTGAGAAGAGAACTAAAGTCAATTTATGACAAAAATAAATGCATAATTACCACAGTCGGGGCTGGTGATGGAGTCAAATGACCCTGTTTTAAAAAAAAGGAAGAAAAACATGACTTTTTCATAGGTTATGTCACTGTACACATGCAGAGAAATGTTAGATGCCTTTTAAATCTTTTTTATCATATGTTTTACGTTTACCTGTAGTATAATGTAGTTTTATGATAAATGACTAAACATTGAAGGTAAGATGACTATTATGCTAAAAAGGTCTTAGAATATAAAAGATCTAGAAGATGTTAGCATTTCTGATATGACACTTAACAAAAATATTTGTACGCTTCAGTGAAATTGGCTATTCATACAACTCAGAGGAAATATAACAGGATGACATCAGAACTCAGAGTCCAGATTGAAGTCTCAATTAACCTGATTTTGGGTTCAGTGCTCAAAGCCAACATGGTGAAAGTCTGATGTTCCAGGAACCCTGTACAGCCCAGGAGAACTGAAAGGATTGCTTTCTCCATGTGAAGCTGGGTGATTCATTTCATCCATCAGTTTCTTATAAATTAAGAAAAATAAATGCCCACAATGCTCAACATGTTAAACTTGGCCAGGAAAACCAGCTAAAGCCCATCAAGGCATCTTGCTCACCCCTCAATGAGATCTGAGCTAAATATTTCATGAAGAACAACTTCATAAAATTCAACAGACAAAACTGAATTGGGAAACCATGAAACTTTTCTCTAGTCAGCAAAAAGCACCAATAGTAAAACTAAATGCCAAATCTGAATTTTAACTGCATAGTTACAATTCTGATTTATTCCCTTGCCTTAGTCTCATCAGAGCTGTGTGAATGCCTGAGTTAACGGTACCCCTTCCTCCTAGCCAACTACATCTTCTCCCCTCATCCTAGAGCAGAGAAGGCCCAGAGCAGATCAGAGAAGCTGCCACTGGCCTGCCTTCCACATGCACTCAGAAGTAAGGGCCCGTGGGCTCAGAGAAGGGACCTGTCATCACCTGTCCCTGCCTGTGTGCTGCAGGTGGCTCAAGGGCCAACTGTCCCAGCAGCTATCATTGGCATCAATGGATGGAACAGGGCAGAACATTGGTACTTTTCACATTGCAAGGCCAGACGAGAGAGGAAGGCATGTTTGTGAGTCTCTGGTTAGATGAAGGATATACAGTGATTTTTTAAAATTAACCAGCCCAGGAATTGCCCTGATGAAAGCTCATGACACATATTGCAAAGTCTCTGCTAGCCCAAGGCAGGGACAGGACCCTATCCAGACCTGACATTTAGTCAGACATTATTTGGCTCTGGATTCAACCTGTATCATATGTCCAGGAAAAGAAAATAGTGAACAAAATCTCCAAACATGGCTCAAGATTTAAATCTTCACTTCAGATGCCAATTTGAGAATGAGCAGATTTCTTAGACTGGGTCCCCTGCCTGAGAGTGAAGAGTTAATTCATAAGAATATGCACTCTGCAGTCACAGGCTTTAAGTTCAAAGTCTGGCTCTAACACTTACTAACCATGCAATCCAGAGAGGCTAGATTCCTCTCTGTCTCAGTTTCTCATCTTCAAAATGGGAATAAAATATGGCATCTAATTAATTAGGTTATCATGAAGATGTTAAGTTTAACACATGGAAAACAGTAAGGCTACACTCTGTGAGTTCTTCAGTGTTAATAGTTATTGGGTTATTGAAGGTCCAACACTCAACAAACATTACTGTCATTCCCCAAACCCCAACATCCTCTCGTCTGTCTTTCTTTTCTCACCTGCCAGGATTTCACTTCCTACCTACGAGACATCTCCTGTTTAAACAGAATTGAAGCCCAAGTCTCTCATAACCAGTTTCAATTCACTGCTCTCCTTGGCTTGCACTTTTATAGATGCCAACTACAAGAAGAAAGCTAAAGAAAAATCTCCTCATACTATCAAGTTGGAGTTGTGATACTTTCTTACTTTCCTAAAAAGTGTGGATTAGTTGGTGAATATGCTCCTACAGCCTTATCATTGTCAGCTTTTGTAAAACATTCGATTAAGTTACATTTATCACATATTAAAAGGCCAGATTTCTACTCACCTTCCACTCCTCAGAGCTCTCAGATTCAGTATTTTGATACCTGGCTACCTAGAAAATTGCGTGTAAATGGTAAGTATGTGGGAAAGACAATAGCTACTTCTATTTTACACATTCAGCAGTAGCTGTGAGCAGCATAAGCCTGCACCAGGATCACCAGAGGCCTTGCCAAAACCCAGACTGTTGTGAGTCTGCAGTAGTTGGTCTGAGCTAGGACCCAAGGATGTATGGCTCTAACAGGGCCCTGATCTATGCTGATTCTGCGGCCCTGGGCAACAATTGGAGAACCACCCCTCATGAGGAAGAAGGTGAGAGTCACAGTTATTCAAATGGCAACTGAACAGGATAAGAGTACTTTGCACATTTTTAAAGAAAAAAGCTTTCTGGGAAAGGACTACAGTAATATCTGTAGTCCATAAACAGTTGGGTTTGCTAACAATTCAATTTTCAAACAAAAGCATTTGGCGACATTGTGCTTCTGTTCACAAAGTCTGCATCAGGTGACAAACATGACCACAGCTATTCTCCCCACACAGACATAAATGAAGCTGTCTCCCCCCAAATCATAAAACAAGTTAAGTCATTAAAGTGAGGTGCACCGTCTTTTCACATGGCTGGAATATGCACAACCACTTGGGTTTGCGGTTAATGAAAATTGTGTACTTTAAACCACAGGAGCTTTGTGCTCTATGTTAAGCCTACCCCAATACTTACCGGGAGAGCACTGGCTAGCCCCCAAAGAAGCATGAGAAGAATGCTGGCCTTCATAATGGGGTATGATGCCTCCGCCTGCAATAAAGGACATAGCTATATTACCTCAGACCAAAGAAATAAAAAATTCATTGTTTTTAAGCTTCTTCCTTTTAAAAATTATTAAAATAGCCAACTGATAAATGGATAGAGAAAATGTACCTCACCTGCACAATGGACTACTATTCAGCCATAAAAAGGAACAAGACACTGTCAGGGCCTACAAAGTACAGGAGCTTTGGAAACATTAAGCCAACGACAAAAGTCTACATTCATAAGATCCCAGTTATATAACTGTGTAGCATGCGCAAATACATAGAGATGGAGAACAGACTGGTGCTCCCGTAGGGCATAGGAAGATGAGGGCTGAGGAGTGACCATGAGGAGGCACAGGATTCCTTTTTCAGGGGATGGAAATGTTCTAAATGTGATGATGGAGGAAATTGTTCTTTTTGTGATCTGTATAGTTTAAAAGCTATTAAACTATATACTTCAAAGATGTGGAGTATGTAGTATTTAAGTTGTCTCAATAAAGCTGCTTTTAAAATAAATGAAAACCTTACTGGTATGACATAAACTGAAAATGTCCAATGAGATTGTCTATAAAAACTCCGTCAGGGGCCGGGGAGATGGCTCAGTAGAATAAACGCTTGCCTGGCAAGCACAAGGGTCTGAGTTCAATCCCTGGTTCCGCAAAAAAAAAAAAAAAAAAACTCCGTCAGTAACACACCAAATCTGGGTATTTTTCCAGAAGAATTAAAAGGATCGTACCACAGTGATATATGTGCACCCATGTCTATAGCAGCAAAGTTTGTCATAGCCAAATCTTGGAAACAACCCAAATACCCATCAACTGAGAAATGGATAAGAAAGATGTGGTCTTTCTATACAATGAAGCATTCCTTAGCTTTAAAGAAAGATAAATTTCAGGCTCTTAGAGGTAAATGGATACAACTAGAAATCACTCATAAGTGAAATAAATCAATCTTGTATGTATAAATAGCATAATGTCTCCTTATTATAAGAGACAGAAAAAGCACACAAGATCTAAAAGATACACCAGGTACTATGAAATGGAAAGAAATTGCTCAAAAGGAAAAAACAACTGGGAAAAGGGAAAGGAGAAAAGAAGGAAGAAATGTATATATACCCACAAGATAGCTAAGCTAATTGTACTAATTTCTTAGTTCATTGAAAGGAAAGTTAGTGCTTATATTGTTTGGTCAATCTTGCATGCCTGTATCTTGTAATCTAAGCAACTACTTTGAAGATAGCAATATGCAATATAATAACCATTGTTAATTTCTATCATCTTATTTTGAAACTGCATAATTTTCTTGGTTTTGTTCTTATTCTCCTTAAAATTTAAAAAAATGATAAATAGGGGAAAAGTAAAGAGAATAGGGAAACTTTTGGCCATTCATTTTTATTTAGCACCTCAGCATGGCATGGAAGTGAAACCTAGCCAATTTACTCCCCCTACAACATTATATTTATTAACACACCATTGATGTGGTGGGTATCTACACACACACACACACACACACACACAGCCTTCTAAATCAAATTCATAACTGGTAATAATGTCAAGCCAAAATAGGTTGATTTTACTCTTTTTTCTTCATGTTATGGCTCCAGAAAACTTGCTGCATACTTGATACACCTAGTCATACATTATACATGGCTTTGCTAAATTCTCCTATGTGCCATTCACATCTCTGAAGGAGCAAGGTAAAAATTAGAGGTTTGGGATAAACTTGTGAACCATGCTGAGAGAAACACTCCAAATCAAATGGTAAATGGTAAGTTTTCTGGAAGGTGGCTTCATTTCACACTTCAAGAACTGGTGATTTCAACACAATTTGTTCTACATCTAAATGTAGACCTCCTGTTGCTAATATAAAAGTTGTCAAAAAGGATTTAAAAGACAGTCATCTGCCTTATGCCTGTGAACCCTTGTGGATGCTCTAAATCAACTATCCAACGTACTTCCATATGTTTTGCAAAATGTCCCGCAAGTTTATTTCAAGCTTCACACTTGCTAATTTGTTTCATTAAATACTAAATATATACTAATAATGACAAGAGATTTAAGCCAAAGTTTCTCTACACTGTCTACATATTAGTATTAGTATTAGTATTAGTATTAGTATCACCTGGAAAAATATTTAGAATACCAATGCACAAATCTCATCTAGAATAATAAAATCAATTTACTGATAAGACTATGTGTGATTTCAAAGTACTTCAAGCAATTTTAACCCTTGATCTAAGAAGTTGGAAAATGTTGTTAAATATCTGAATACAGTGACTAATGTGTGAAACTTTGAGTATGGTAAATCATCGAATCTAATCTCATGTTTCTCATTTATTCAAGAAAATAATAAAAATCCTAAGACAAAGAGACTAAAAAGTTTTCTCACTTTTATTTCCTTAAAGTTAAAAGGCCAAACATCACCTCTTGTATTGTGAGCATTATCCCTGTTCAGTACAGCTACCTTTCATTTCTGTCACTTTCTTTATTCCAATTCAACACACTGCAGCCGTTATGTTTTAATATTGTTCTTTTAAAAAAAAAATCTTTTGCCTAATATCAACCGAGAAGAGCATATGCTGAACTGCAAATACAAAGGGCATTACTTCCTTTTAGTTCTCATTTAACATTTTTAAAATTTCTTAGATGCATTCTTAAAGGAAGTGAAATTCTCCTAAATATGATATGCTCAAAATAACTCCCTGTAGATGGTCTCAGCCCCACAGTGTAAATGAAAGGTAACTCAACATCTTTTTTCTTTTCTTTATGTTTTTAGTACAGGATCTACAAGATCTCACTACAAAGATCGGACTCATAGTGATCCTCCTGTTTTCAGTCTCCCAAGCCCTAGTCGGAAAAAAAAAAAAAAAAAAAAAAAACACCCTAGCCGCTGAGTCTGCCTCAGGAGGCGCTTTAGTCCACTGAGCTATCTGGCAGGCACTTTTGCCATCAGAACCGTTCAAGTGAAATTTCAATGAGATGATGATTTCACTGGTGTTTTAAGGACTACCAAACATTCACCATTAACAAAAGACCAAGGACAATTGAATTCTTTTGTACTTTCTTCAGTCTCTCTGTTATCTAACAATCTAAAACTCAGGGCATGCCATTGTAACTTTTCTATTCCAATGGATATGCAATTCTTCTTCTTCTTCTTCTTCTTCTTCTTCTTCTTCTTCTTCTTCTTCTTCTTCTTCTTCTAACTAAGGAACTGCATGCTTCCAGTTCTCAAGTTCCTCAGGCATGGAACATTGGGTGATGTGCCAGCTTGCTCAGCCTTCTAACAATGCTATTTAACACCCTGACCTAAACCAATAATTTCCCAAGTAGAAGTTTAGTAAACAAAAATAAAACACACCCTAGGGCCTAAAGAGAGCAAGAGGACCAGTATTACCTCCCAAAGAATATAATCTCCTCTTAAACATTAGATAAAACCATATCTTAAACCCTATGTTAGGTTTCCAATTAGTATTTTTATTTAAAAAAATAAATAAATAAAGACACTCTTATGGTTTATATTTTCCAATGAGAGCACCAAGCTCTTATAATTGTTTAGTTGCCATGTTAAAGAGAATAGAAAATAGGCACCAGTCTTATTCTGAATAATGAATTAACAAATAAATGATAGCCTGAAAAATTAGAAGTCCAGATCCCCCAGCTAGTCTTTTCTGACTGATTAATGTCATCCATGTGCTGTCATTCTATGAGAGCAGGAGTGAGCAGAAATCAACAACCTTGACTTTATTTTCACCTTCTGAAAAGTATTAGAGACTTTCACTCTTTCTCAGTTGCTCTCAGGGTAGAAAAAGATTCAAATGGATCTGAAGAAAGAAACTGTGGTCCAATTTTTAAGTATAAACAAAAAATTTTCAGGTTCTCAAATGAGGAAACTTTTACTGGAATGTCCTTAAAGATAAGATTTACTTGCAAAGTAGTAAGATCTTCTCTTATGTAAACTGGAATAAAAGACATAGAAGAAATTAAGGAAATCAAAGTTTGAAAAATGATAGGCTCCTTTTTTCCTTTGGAAAATACCTTGTGTTTAAATGTTCTTATTTTTGTTTTAGTATTGTTATCCTCATGAATACTAATGAATGATATATTCATTAGCTAGCAGTTAACAAATATTTTCTCAGAACAGTGAATATGCCAGACTCTGGTCTAAGTGCTATTCCAGCTATATAGAAAGTAATAGTAATAATAATGATAAATAGCTAATAAAAATAATAATAAGATGATTTCAAAAAGTAAATTTGTCAACAACTAACTAATCTTTGCTTCATTATTATTCTTTGAAAATAAAGTGGAATTGGCCAGATATTAGGGCTATCAGGCATTCAGAGACCCAATGTAACAAGAGTTTCCAGCTTTTCTTATTAAAACTGTCTTGAGGTTGTTCATCATCACTCTAATGTTTTATGCCTCAACCACAGTGAAATAAGTCATAGGTGTCCCAAATATTGACTGGGAAGAGCTCGAAGCATTTTAAGCATGTTGATCCACAACAATATTTGGTAGTCAATAAGTATACTGCTGCCCTATAGAGAACTCTTCATCCCAGGCCTTTAATATTAAAGTGGGATGGTCTGTATGAGCCTGGATCAGATAGAAAGTTTGGTTCATCAGAAGTTACTGCTCCTGTAGAGGAAAACTTGCTTACTACTGGACATAGGATCTTGTTGATGTCACGTGAATGCTGGCCTGACCACAACTTCCACTCTGTTGTGGAAGACAGACACCACTGATAAGGATGAAGATGTGGAAGACACAGCACATAAAGATACATATGGATAAGTTGTGTACATACCAACTAAACCTTCTCCTCTAGAAAATTTTTAAGAGATGATTATATTCAACATTTATTGAATTCCAACTAGCAGCTTATCATGCTATTGTGAACACACTACTAGCCAAGATAAACACATTGTAATGGTCACACCCTGACTCATGTCAATGATCTTAGGATCTTCCCTCAATTATTTTT